AAATACGAAAATGTCTATTCCAGTGACTTTTTGGAGAATTCACAATTACAGGAAAGAATATTTCGTTAGGCTGATTTCGTTGAAGAATATAGTCAAATGTCTGTATCTCATATAGATGCGTTTCAGTCAAAAACCAATAATAAATGTTAATCTTTTGCCACTTCTGAGAGATTATAGGTATTTGGGAAATATTGGTTCCAGATCTAGGAAGACCATTTACGTGCAACATCTACCAATAAATTGGAAATGAGCAAATTAGTTTAAGTTGCAATTATTCGAAAATTAGAAAACGAAACCTGATGGTTTTCTTTTATTATTTGTCACAATATCTTGTGGAATTCTTTCGAGTATCTCGCCTATATAAACTGTATCGTTTATTATAGTGTTGTAGGGTATTCAACGGTCGGCCCCGCTCGACTGTAGCCTTTGCTTACTTGTTTTTAATTAATTTTATGATTGTCGGCGATTTTAAGGGAACAAGGCACCGTAACAATCAACAAAACAAATATATTTTACATAGGAAGAAAAAGGGGGGTTATCGATCCTTTTTTGCTATAGAAAATGTTACCAATCAATATTCCTGCACAAAATATTGTTATCGGCCAACTTTTGCAAAAAGTTTTGTTATCGAATAATTTTTCTATAGCAAATCTTTTTTTCGGTCAACTTAGAAAATGTCGTAATTTGGTTGGTTTCTATAGAAAATGTTGTCAAGGATCAAAAATATGGGCATCGATCAACTTTTTTATAGAAAATATTGTTATCGATCAATTTGTCTACATAAAATGTTATCGAACAACTTTTTATGTAGTAATTGTTGTTATTAGTCGAAAATGTCGTTATCAATCAGCATTTGTACAGAAAATGTTGTTATCGGATAATTTTTCTATAGGAAATGTTGTTATCGGTACACTTTTTCTTATAGAAGATGTTGTCATCGACAAACTTTTTTATTGAAAATAATGTTATCGGTCAATTTTTTTTTTTATTGAAACTTCAATTTTTCTACAGAAAATGTTAATATCGAAAAACTTTTCCACTGAATATATTAATTTCGAGCCAGTTCTCTACCGAAAATGTTATTATCGAACGACTTTTTTGTAGTAATTGTCGTTATCGGTCAACATTTGTACAGAAAAAGTTATTATCGGGCAATTTTTTCTATAGAAAATGTAACAACCCAAAATTTTTATTGAAAATATCGTTATCGACCAACTTGCATATTTGTAATGTTGTTATCGGTCAACATTGTCATTGGCTGAACTTTTCTATAGAAAATATTGTTATCGATACACTTTTATATGGAAAATGTTGTTGTCGACCAAATTTTTTTTTGAAAATGTTGTTATCGACCAACAGGCATGTAAGAAATGTTGTTATCGGTAAACTTTTCTATAGAAAATATTTTCATCGATACACTTTTATATGGAAAATGTTGTTGTCGACCAATTTTTTTATTGAAAATGTTGTTATCGGTCAACATTTGTGCATACGAGGTTGTTATCGGTAAACTTTTCTGTAGAAAATATTTTCATCGATACAATTTTATATGTAAAATGTTGTCATCGACCAACTTTTTTATTGAAAATGTTGTTATCGACAAATATTCCTATAGAAATTATCGGACGATTTTCCTAGAGTAATTATTGTAATTGATCAGTTTTTCTATAGAAAAGGCTATTATCCAATTACTATTATTCAGAAAAAAATTGTAATCGTATCATTTTTCCGTAGAAAATTTGGTTATCGGTTTACTTCTTTATATAAAATAGTTAAATCGATCACCTTCTCTGTTGAAAATTTGGTTCAACATTTTTACGTATGATGTTGTTGCCTGTGAACTATAGAAAATATTGTCGATACACTTTAATATAGAAAATATTGTCATCGACCAACTTTGTTATTGAAAATGTCGTTATCGACCAAAATGCATGCATAAGAGGTTATTATCGGTAAACTTTTCTGTATAATATATTTTAATCGATACAATTTTATATGGAAAATGTTGTCATCGACCAACTTTTTTATTGAAAAAGTTGTTATTGAAAAAAATTCCTAAAGAAAATAAAAATATATCGCCTACATTTCTATAGAAATTGTTGTTATCGATCGATTTTCCTAGAGTAATTATTGTAATCGGTCAGTAATCGAATCATTTTTCCATAAAAAAATGTGGTTATCGGTTTACTTTTTTTATAGGGAATAATTCAATCCATCGGTCAACATTTATACATAAGATATTGTTATCGAACAAATCTTTTTATAGAAAATGTTGTTATCGAACAACTTTTTTTATAGAAAATGTTGTTATCGAACAACTTTTCTATAGAAAATGTTGTTATCGAACAACTTTTCTGTAGCAAATGTTGTTATCGAACAACTTTTCTATAGAAAATGTTGTTATCGAACAACTTTTCTATAGAAAATGTTGTTATCGAACAACTTTTCTATAGAAAATGTTGTTATCGAACAACTTTTCTATAGAAAATGTTGTTATCGAACAACTTTTCTATAGAAAATGTTGTTATCGAACAACTTTTCTATAGAAAATGTTGTTATCGAACAACTTTTCTATAGAAAATGTTGTTATCGAAAAACTTTTCTATAGAAAATGTTGTTATCGAACAACTTTTCTATAGAAAATGTTGTTATCGAACAACTTTTCTATAGAAAATTTTGTTATCGAACAACTTTTTTATGGAAAATGTTGTTATCGAACAACTTTTCTATAGAAAATGTTGTTATTGAACAACTTTTCTATAGAAAATGTTGTTATCGAACAACTTTTCTATAGAAAATGTTGTTATCGAAAAACTTTTCTATAGAAAATGTTGTTATCGAACAACTTTTCTATAGAAAATGTTGTTATCGAACAACTTTTCTATAGAAAATTTTGTTATCGAACAACTTTTTTATGGAAAATGTTGTTATCGAACAACTTTTCTATAGAAAATGTTGTTATCGAACAACTTTTCTATAGAAAATGTTGTTATCGAACTACTTTTCTATAGAAAATGTTGTTATCGAACAACTTTTCTATAGAAAATGTTGTTATCAAACAACTTTTCTATAGAAAATGTTGTTATTGAACAACTTTTCTATAGAAAATGTTGTTATCGAACAACTTTTCTATAGAAAATGTTGTTATCGAACAACTTTTCTATAGAAAATGTTGTTATCGAAAAACTTTTCTATAGAAAATGTTGTTATCGAACAACTTTTCTATAGAAAATGTTGTTATCGAACAACTTTTCTATAGAAAATGTTGTTATCGAACAACTTTTCTATAGAAAATTTTGTTATCGAACAACTTTTTTATGGAAAATGTTGTTATCGAACAAGTTTCCTGTAGAAAATATTGTTGTCGAATAACTTTCCTAAAGAAAATATTGTTATCGACTACATTTCTATAGAAATTGTTGTTATCGACAATTCTTTCCTTGGAAAATGTTGACATCGATTAACTTCCTGCAAAAAACATATTGTTACCGGTATTTTTTTTTTCTATAAAAAATGTCCTTATCGGTCTACTTTTCTATGGAAATCTTTGTTATCGATCGATTTTCCTAGAGTAAATACTGTAATTGGTCGGTTTTTCGTAATCGAACCACTTTTCTGCAGAAAATGTGGTTATCAATTGAATCAGTAAATAATGTAATTGGTCAGTTTTTCTATAGAATAGTCTTTTATCTAACGATAACTTTTCACCTTTTATGTGGAAAATATGAAAATTTGGTTATTGTTCCACATTTCTATAAAAATATTGTTATCGGCTAACTTTCTATATGTTATCGATAAACTTTTTGATTCAAATATTTCTTATCTGTAAATTTTTCTGTAGAACTATTTGCTATCGGTCAATCTCTCTATATAAACTGTTTGTTATCGATTCCTTTTTCAATAGAAAAAATTGGTATCAAACAACTTTTCTATAGAAAACGATCAAGTCTACTATCGACAAACTTTTCAGTACAGTTTTTCTTTCGAGTTTTCTGTGAAAAGTTTGTTATCGATCCGCTTTTTAACAAAAGTGGTAGTATCGATCAACTTTTTTGTAGAAAATGTTGTTATCGATCAACTTGTATGTGGCAAGTTTTGTTATCGAGGTCATTCCCTATCTCCCTCTCTGTTATCTAACGACTTTTTGCTACAAAATACTGTTATCGAAAAAGCTTTTTTAAATAACAAATTGTTTTATAGGACGAATTGTTATCGAATCATTTTTCTGTAGAAAATATTGTTATATAGGACGAATAGATCAAATTGTTATCGAACTATTTTTCTGCAGAAAATATTGTTATCGGTTAGCCTTTTCATAAAAAAAATACTGTTATCGATTATCTTTTCGTTTAAATTTTGGTTTTTTGACAAATTTACTATAACAAATACTGTTATCGATTAACTTTTAATATGTTATCGGCAAACTTTTTCATATATAAATGGCTGAGATATCGAATTTTCTTTTGAAATATTTGTTATCGGTCAATTTTTCTAGAAAAAATCTTTGCTAACGTTTTCCTTTTCAATAGAAAATATTGTGATTGATCAACTTTTCTATAAAAAAATGCTGTTATCGGCATTACTCTAAAAAAAATTTGTTATCGAAAAGTTGTACCCATAAAATGTTGTTATCGAAAACCTTTTTGTTAGAAATATATTGATATATTTTAATAACAAATGATTTTATCGAAACATATTTCTGTTGAAACGGCTGTTATCGAACAATTTGTCGTTAGAGAATACAGTTATCGGTCCATTGTTCTACAAAAAATTCTTTGATGGCCCACTTTTCAATGGCATCGAACAAATTTCAAAATTAATGAAAAACTCAAAGTAAATTTTAAACATTTTTTTCTTTTATTAAATAGTATGAGAAATAAAGATGGGTCGATAAAAATTCATGCCAAATGGAGTAACAAAAACAAAAAAAAAAAGTAAAACAAACTTAATAACAATTTAATTTAAAGTTTCACCAAATAAATAGTTCGCAAGAACTTTACCAAGCGTTGAGTTGAGCTGGGGCAGCGGCAAAGGTCAGCGGCTGTTGGACGTAAGGCGAGGCGGCCACAAATGATGGCGTTTGATAGATGGCAGAAGTGGGGGCGGCGGCGGCGGCTGTAACATATGTACCTGTGGCACTTACATATCCAGCACTGGGCGTTGTTACATAGGCGGCCTTGGGGGCAGTGGCCACAAAGTTGGCGCCCAACGGTTGTACAAAACTGAATGCTCCAGTAGGATAGTAGGCAATTGTGGCGAGATTTTGTCCAGCAGCAGGAGCAGTGGAAGCATTCTTCTTTTCCTCCTCCTCCTTTTTCATTTCGGTTTCAATTTCCGTATTGGTGTCTTCACCATCTTCTTCGTCTTCCTCACGATTGTCGGTGAGACGAGAAGATTGTTGGGCGGCAGTCAAACGTCCCGATTGGGGTGTGGCATAGAGACGTTGGGGTTGTTGACGTTGTTGTTGTTGCAGACGTGCAGGAGCTTGTCTGAGACGTGCCGGGGCAGCGTATAATCCATTGGGTCTTTGTTGGGGTTCACCAAGTTGATTGGAACCGGAGTTGATGACGTCTTGTGTTTCGACTTCGGATTGTTGTTCAACTTCGACTTCAGGTTGAGGTTGAGGTTGGGGTTGTCTTTCGGGGGCGCCATAGGTTTGTTCGGGAGCGAATGTGAAAAATTGTTGTTGGGGGTTATTGTTGTTGCTGAAGGTGGCTTGCTGGGGATTGGTGTTGAAGTTTGGTTGCCGAGGACTGTTGTTGAAGGTAGCTGGTTGTGGGTTGTTGCCAAAGTTTTGTTGTTGGGGATTGGTGTTGAAGTTCGGTTGTCTAGGGCTGTTGTTGAAGTTGCCTTGTTGAGCATTATTGTTGAAGTTTTGTTGCTGTGGTTGCTGAGGACGTCCCTGTTGGGGCCTCAAACGATTTGGTGCCCCGTACAACAACTCGGGTTGTTGAGGTTCGGAGAGGAAATCAAATCCACCATTATTGTTGTTGTTGTTAAAGTTGTTGAAATTGTTGTTGTTGTTGTTTTCCTGCTTTTGTGGATGACTGCCTAAGGGGAACTCGGGCTGTTCACCGGGCAAATGGAACTCCTTGTTGGGACGATAACCCGAGGCTGGATAAGGTGTTGGACGACCTTCCAAACGCTGCAAACGTAAAGTTTGGGGACGGCTGTAGCGGCTGTAACCCAAATGAGCAACATCAGCACGAATTGCCGAGGCACCTAAGGCCAAGATCAGGACACCAACTGTGACCACCGAAGATACCATCTTTACTGTTCTCCTGCAAAAAAAACCTGTCTTTACAATAGATCGAGATATGTAATACTAATATTTAAATTCAAGACCCGCTTGATTTTATAGCAAACCGTTTTTGATGGTCAGAAACAAAGCTGGCTTTTTGTAAATCAAAAAAAAAAAAAATTGAAATTGAAATTGAAATAAAACAAAATTCCCCCTCGTCAAACTGTCGAATACAGAAATTATTATTAAGTTTTTGGGGGTAGACAAAATAAAATAACAACTGAATGAACGGTTAAAGCAAAAATTTAGAATTCAGGCTACGTCGATTCAAGACTCATTAAATGGCCAACTGGCTGCTTGTGGCTTGTGGGGCATTGCCCAAACACCTCTCCTCTCTCTCTCGCTCTCTGCTTTAGGCCAGCCGGGCCAAACCAACTACTTAGCAGGCAGACCGACCACCCATACGACGGGTGGGACCTCCGATTTTACATTATTGACATTGACCCTTATTAGCCACCAGCCACCAGTGCTCAGTATTAGAGGGCGCCCATAGCTTGCCAATTCATAGCTGTAATCACTAAACGATCGCCAAACGTTTGGAATATCAAAAAATTGTAACATTTTTTTTTTTTTTGGATTTCGGTTTTGATTCTCTTCTCACCAAATGTTGTAAGTCTCGATAGTCAGTTACAAACTGTCAAACCTACCCCAACATTGTGTACCTAATTTGGTATTCGCAAACGGTTTGTTATCAAACTGTTTCGATTTTGGCTTTTGGCCAACTCTTCAACTAAACTCAAAAATAAAAAAAGTAAAAATAAAAAAAAAACTTAAATAAATTTAAATCACGTTCGAAACTAATGCTCTTCATAAACAACATTTGTTTTGTCACAATTTTATCGCTCTTGGCAGTGTTAGTGTCAATTTGAGTGATTCACTGCATTCTTGGAGTACAACGCGATCTCATCATAATGGAGGCTTTCTGACTGGCATTAGGCTGTGGTGACTTCAATTCAATAGTTTAGTTATTATTATTATTATTCTGTTATTGCTGGTGTCGGGGCAGTGTTGTCATGTTTTCCATTAAAGGCCATAAAGAAATTTATTGATCTGGTAATGGTAATAATTCTTATCAAACAACAAAATGGCAACGATTTTCTGTAGGAAATTACTTAGAAAACAAATCGATAACACAAATTTTGTATGGAAAACATTTCGATAACAATGATTTTTCATAAAAAAAACTACCGATAACAATAATTTTCCATAGAAAATCAAACGATAACAAAGTTTTTGTATAGGAAAGCTATCGATAACAAAGTTTTTCTCTAGGAAAGCTATCGATAACAAAGATTTTCCATTAAAAATATATCGATAACAATGATTTTCTATAGAAAAACTATCGATAACAAAGATTTTCTATAGAAAACCGATCGGTAACAAAGATTTTTTATAAAAAAGCGATCGATAACAAAGATTTTCTATGGAAAATCGATCGACAACAAAGATTTTCTATGGAAAGCTGATCGATAACAAAGATTTTCTATGGAAAACCGATCGATAACAAAGATTTTCTATAGAAAACCGATCGATAACAAATATTTTCTATAGAAAACCGATCGATAACAACGATTTTCTATAGAAAACCGATCGATAACAACGATTTTCTATAGAAAGCGATCGATAACAAAGATTCTTTATAGAAAAACGGTCGATAACAAAGATTTTCTATAGAAAACCGATCGATAACAAAGATTTTTTATAGAAAACCGATCGATAACAAAGATTTTCCATAGAAAACCGATCGATAAAAAAGATTTTCTATAGAAAACCGATCGATAACAAAGATTTTCTATAGAAAACCTATCGATAACAAAGATTTTCTATAGAAAATCGATCGATAACAAAGATTTTCGATAGAAAACCGATCGATAACAAAGATTTTCTATAGAAAACCGATCGATAACAAAGATGTTCTATAGAAAACCGATCGATAACAAAGATTTTCTATAGAAAACCGATCGATAACAAAGATTTTCTACAGAAAACCGATCGATAACAAAGATATTTCTATAGAAAAACTATCGATAACAGAGATTTTCTATAGAAAACTGATCGATAACAAAGATTTTTTATAGAAAACCGATCGATAACAAAGATTTTCTATGGAAAACCTATCGATAACAAAGATTTTCTATGGAAAAACTATCGATAACAATTATTTTCTATGGAAAACCTATCGATAACAAAGATTTCCTATAGAAAAACTATCGATAACAAAGATTTTCTATAGAAAAACTATCGATAACAAAGGTTTTCTATAAAAAACCCGATCGATAACAAAGGTTTTCTATAGAAAAACCGATCGACAACAAAGGTTTTCTATAGAAAAACCGATCGATAACAAAGGTTTTCTATAGAAAACCGATCGATAAGAAAGGTTTTCTATAGAAAATGAATCGATAAACAGTTGTATATAAAATCAATCGATAACAGAAATTATTTTCTATAGAAAATCTTTGTTATCGACAGAGAATGTCTGCTATCGATAGGTTTTCTATAAAAATATATTTGTTATCGATAGGTGTTCTATAAAAAATATCTGTTATCGATAGGTTTTCTATAGAAAATCTCTGTTATCGATAGGTTTTCTATAGAAAATCTCTGTTATCGATAGGTTTTCTATAGAAAATCATTTTTATCGATAGATTTTCTATAGAAAATCATTGTTATCGATAGATTTTCTATAGAAAATCATTGTTATCGATAGATTTTCTATAGAAAATCTCCGTTATCGATAGGTTTTCTATAGAAAATCTCTGTTATCGATAGGTTTTCTATAGAAAATCTCTGTTATCGATAATTTATTTCAGAAAATCTTTGTTATCGATAGTTGTTCTATATCAAATCTCTGTTATCGATGGGTTTTCTAGAGAAAATCTCTGTTATCGATAGGTTTTCTATAGAAAATCTTTGTTATCTATAGGTTTTCTATAGAAAATCTTTGTTATCTATAGGTTTTCTATAGAAACTCTTTGTTATCGATAGGTGTTCTGTATAGATTTTCTGTTAACGATAGGTGTTATCGATAGATTTTCTATAGAAAATCATTGTTATCGACAGTTTTTCTATCGAAAATCATTGCTATCGACAGTTTTTCTATACAAAATATTTGCTATCGATGGTTTTTCTATAGAAAATCTTTGTTATCGATGATGTTTCTATAGAAAATCCTCTTTATCGATGGTGTTTCTATAGAAAATCATTGTTATCGATGGATTTTCTATAGAAAATCATTGTTATCGACAGTTTTGTAGAAAAATCTTTGCTATCGAAAATTTTCTATAGAAAATCATTGTTATCGGAATAGTTTCTATAGAAAATTTTTACTTATCAAAATATTTTCCATTGAAAAAGAAAACGTTTTCCTAATTTTCCATTACATTAGGCCATTCCCTTTTTTAATTTCAATGACAAAACAAGAAAATAAAGAACTGAAAAAAAAACAAACGAAAGAAGTCTTCCTCCAACCCTAAAACCCATGTATACCCATTGGCACATTTACTCAAAGTCTCGACATTTTCTTCTAACCTTTGGTTGAACTTATTAAGGTAATGACATGACTGAGAAGGCTTAAATGTTGACGTTTTTTATGAACGCGAACAACAGACGTGTTGGTTTTTTGTTTTCCTTTCCACTCAGGGCTAGGTTGGCTATGTGTTCGTTCGTTCCAGCTTTGTCTGTCGACGACATTGTTTTGATTTATTTATCTACCATCAAACATATTTTTGTTGGCCTAGGTTAGGACCACACTGACGGAGAGAGTGAGATTTGTTTTCGCCCAAACCAGAATTATAGGATTTTGCATTTTGTTAATTGTAAATCAACCCGATTACTCAGTGAATCGTTAAATATTAAGACGATTAACTAAACCGATGTTCACATGCTGCCATGTTTGTCGGGGATGTTCGAATGAATGTTGTGACTGGTATGGCCATTTATCACAATGGTCAAAACAAGATAGCTACAACATAATAAATGCTCCACAATATTATTTATCATTCTGGGAAGGAATGCAAGAGGAGAGTAGTAAGGTGCGGTAGACACCTGACCAACCCGGGGAAATTCCGATATAAGTTTGCGGGAAATTATGTTTGAAAGCAGCACTCATCCGCATGATACAAACATCGGATCTATCGATCGATCAGTCATCATTGTCGGTCCATATCGGGAGATTGCCTGATTAGACCAACATACGCAAGTTGGTCGGGACAACAATGTTGAACAGCAAATCAATAAGCGGGAAAAATCAATCAAACAACTCCAACAATTCTCAAATGGAATTCAATTCTGTTTGTTGTGCCTTTCCTCAGGAATGTTGTTCTAGTTTTCCCCGGACCATTATCAAGTGATTGGCGCGCCGCCTCATATCTTTTGAAGAAAATCTGCTTTTGGTGATTTCCTCCGACATTGTGCCACCAATTAAGCCTTGAATGTATGTTTCAGCCATATTTGTTTGAGAAATTAAATATTATGTGTTCGGCGGCAGCTTCCAAGATGATCGACTTACCTATCGACACCAACCGGTTGGTTGCCAAAACTGGCCATGTAACGAATATGGCGGACGTAGAAAATCGAATTAATTAGCGGTCGCTCGCTAGGTGTCGCTTAGCCGTAATTACACTTTGTCACAGTGACAGTTATGGGCTTAGGCCAGCCCAATGGCCAACCCTCATCATTTCGAAATTAACACCTAAGCCAAGCCGTAGCAATTGCCCATCAATTTTGTTATTGGATTTTCCAATCATTGCCCTAAACTAAAGGATTCCAAGCATTAATTGAAAAAATAATTAGTGAACAACTTATTTGAGAACAAGTTCGGAGCTGTTAACAGGTCCACAACATCTTTGCCATGGTTTTTGTGTAATTGGCAAACTATCGATAACATAGATTTCTATGTTATAGAAATAGATTTTCTATAGAAAAACTATCGATTACATAGATTTTCTATAGAAAAACTATCGATT